CAGCCCTGCAGGGAGGGATTCCCCCACCCGTAGGGAATAAATTAAATGCTGTGTGTGCAGGGACAGGCTGTGTCTGCCTTGTTCCAGCTCAGGGAATCTCCTTAAAAACCCCTGTTTTCACTTGGGAGTGTTGTCTGTTGAAATGATAGGATTTATATTAATTACTGAGGTTTAATTTTTTAAACAGTGCTTATATCGCACGGTAACTAAGCAGCACTCTGTGGGAGATGACAATCTTGGCAAAGCCCTTATTGGCTCTAAAAGAAGAAATCCCTGCTCTTCCTCATTTTTCAGATTTTACTGAGATGATGAGGGCGCTGGGGTATCCTCGGCTGATATCCATGGAGAATTTCCACACCCCAAACTTCATGCTCGTGTCAGAGGTGCTGCTGTGGCTGGTGAAAAGGTCGGTGATGAGGCCAACAAGTGTTGGGCTGGTGCTGAGGTGTGGGGAGTGTGCTTGGGAACTGATGGTGTGCTGAGAAATGAGGGAACTCAGGGATACTTAGTAATTCTTTGAGTTCTGCTCTTTAAATACCAAATAGAAATGTGGTGGTTTGCCGAATTTTAGCTTAATGATAGTCTGGAGTAGCAAACCTAGTGATTGCCAGAGGTTTCACCCTGACTGTGGGCACACTCATTTAAAAGTAATCTTATCTCTCACATATTCTCCAAATTCTACAGCCATCCTGTCCATATCTAACCTTTTATACAAACAGAGTGATCTGTTGTGGGAAATTCACCAAAACCCAGCCAGTTCTTGCCTTGTTGCTACAGCCTGGTATTGTCCTGCATCCACAACATATTTAAAATAAATAAAATGGTTTGGTTCTAATATTCTACTGTCCAGTTGTAGTTTTACACCCACTTAATCTTCTGACAGACAGTGGTTAAATATTTCTGGATCTTGAAGTGTTATTTTAATTATACATTATCTTCTCTCTCCTGATTAAATTTAAAATTAAGAGTTTTTAAATGTAAAATTAAGATTTTTTTTTCAGATTATAAGGTAGAACATTATAATTGAAACCAACATTGACCAGTTTTCCTGATTGCTGTTTTTTGGCCTGGGTTAATAATTAATATCCATTAAGTTGTTAGAAATTTGCTGAATACTTTTGCAGTTGTAATGACATAGGGATATACTCACAACCATTCAGAATTACTTGGATTAAGTTGCCTAAAGAGTCTTTCAAATGCTGCTGTCCCACTGAGGGTCCAAATCACTGAATCTGCTTTTATTCTTCTCTGGCTCCTGCAGTCTGACCATTTGTAGAAGTTTCTGCATCTCACTGATGTTTTTTTAAGCATTTCACAGATTTCAGTTTGTTTTTCCATAAATTTCCTTTACTTGTGAAAGGAGGGTGTTTGAATTGATGCCTGGCTATGAACTGATGCAATGTGTCAGCTTTTACAGCTCCTGCAGTTTGTACAAACCCCCTGTGTGCATCCAGCTCTGGATGCCCCAGCCTGCAGCAGGAATTTATTTACACGTTTATCCTCCAGCTTGTGCTTACTTGGAGTTTGATTTTTGCCTCAGAGGTGTTGCCAGAAGCTTGTTCTGATCTCCAGCTGTTGTTTGCACAGGTATGAACCTCAGAGTGACATTCCTGGGGACGTGGACACAGAGCAGGACAGAGTTTTCTTCATTAAGGCCGTGGCTCAGTTCATGGTGAGTCTGCCCAGGAGCTGTGCTTGGGCTGAAACCCTGAAAATCTGAAACCCTGAAAATCTGAAATCCTGAAAATCTGAAATCCTGCTTCCATGGTAGCTTTAGAGCTTTCTCTTAACTCCACAGAGCTTCCCTGCAAGGGCTGGCTGAGTTTGTGTTGTATTCTGCTGCTGTTTTATCCCTGGCAGTGCCCAAGGCCAGGCTGGGCAGGGCTTGGAGCAGCCTGGGACAGTGGCAGCTGTCCCTGCCCATGGCAGGGGTGGCACTGGATGAGTTTTGAGGTCTCTTCCAACCCAAACCATTCCATGATTCTGTGATCCTGTGTCTTGTGCTGCTGGAAATTTGAAGAGGCCAGGGCAGGCTGTTACTGACATTCTGTACTTCTCTCTGCAGAGCTGGGTCTAAATGTGATATTGGGATGTAAATACAATATTGGGATCTAAATCAATATTCCTTCCAGTATTCACTGGGATCTAAATATGATATTGGGATGTAAATTTGATACTGGGATCTAAATACAATATTGGGATCTAAATTGGGATAGAAACCAATATTCATTTCAATATTCACTGAGATCTAAATATGATATTGGGATCTAAATACAATATTGGGATCTTAATTGGGATCTAAACCAGTATTCATTCCCATACTCACTGGGATCTAAATACAATATTGGGATCTAAACCAATATTCATTCCAATATTCACTAAAATCTAAATATGATATTGAGATCTAAATATAATATTAGGATCTAAATTGGGATCTAAACCAATGTTCATTCCCATATTCACTGGTTCTAAATACAATACTTTGATCTAAATTGGGTTCTAAACCAGTGCTAATTCCAATATTTGCTGGGATCTAAATATGATATTGGGATCTAAATACAATATTGGGATCTAAACCAGTGTTCATTTCAATATTCACTGGGATCTAAATATGATATTGGNTAAATACAATATTGGGATCTAAACCAGTGTTCATTTCAATATTCACTGGGATCTAAATATGATATTGGGATCTAAATACAATATTGGGATCTAAATTGTGAACTAAACCAATGTTCATTCCAATATTCACTGGGATCTAAATACACTGTTAGGATCTAAATTGGGATAGAAACCAATATTCATTCCAGTGTTCACTGGGATCTAAATATGATACTTGGATCTAAATACAATATTGGGATCTAAATTGGGATCTAAACCAATGCTCATTCCAATATTCACTGGGATCTGAATACAATATTGGGATCTAAATTGGGATAGAAACCAATGTTAATTCCAGTGTTCACTGAGATCTAAATATGATATTGGGATCTAAATACAATATTGGGATCTAAATTGGGATCTAAACCAATGTTCATTCCCATATTCACTGGGATCTAAATAAAATATTGGGATCTAAATACAATATTAGGATCTAAACCAATATTCATTCCAATATTCACTGGGTTGTAAATATGATATTGGGATCTAAATCAGTATTCATTCCAGCATTCACTGGGATCTAAATATGATATTGGGATATAAATACAATATTGGGATCTAAATTCGGATATTTTTTCATCATTCATTTTTTTCATTATTCATTCTTATCTCTCCTAATTTATAAAAGGTAACAGTGGAAGACACAGCTGTAGATGAGAAAAGTTTTTAAACCATTTAAATTGTTTTAGAAGAGATCCCACCTTGGTTATTGCTAACTTTGGATGCCTTTTCTGTGCTTGAATTATCAAAACATCTGGCGTTTTCATGATGATACAGAATCATATATTGGTTGTATGAGATTTCCCATAGATTAGAGCATGTGGTTTTTCCTCAGATCAATTTTTTTATGCATGAGCATATTTGGATTGGGCTATCAAATTTTTTAGTTTTATGGAATAAAATAACATCGTCCTTCAGAAAATTAATGTTTGGAAGCAGTGGGAGCCTTTGGTGTTATCACACACTTAGATTAACACTCTTCATTATGTGAAAAGAACTTTCTGGGGCTGCAGCTGGGTCTGGAAGCAATGGAAGTTTTTATGCTAATACCAAAGATGAATTACAGTACTTTAAAAAAAAATCTTAAACATATTAAAATGTCATTTTAACAACATTTCCCTTGTCATTTGTGAATAGTGTGCACCATAAATTCTCTTCATTTTGCCATGTTCAGAGCAGGGTACATTCCTGTACATATTAGAATGTTCTTTTGAGCCTTGGAGCATCTTGAGATGGAGTGAGCAGGTCTGTTTTGTTTGGGAGGGTTTCCCCCTCCAAGCACAAGTCTGGAAGCAGAAATAATGTGATGCTTTTCAATAGCTGATTTCATGTCAGAAATCCCAGGGGTGTTGGAGAATTACATAACATGATTCAGAAAATGAAATGAATGGAAATTAGTCATCCTGTACTTAGTCTCAGTTAATATTACAGGTTAGTGTTGGGATTATTGTAGGTTTTCAGCATTTTCAGGATGAGAGAAGCTTGTAGACATTTCCTTAATAATTCACTGGCCATGCAATCCACAATTATCTTCCCCAGGAGTTAATGGCTTTATGCATCCGTGGGCAGACGGGAGATGTGGTGGAGACAGAATTGTCTAGAAGAGAATGGCAGGACAGATCCATCACCAGGGATGTGGCTGCAGCTCTGCTCTGCCTTACTGAGCAAGGACTGAGGAGCTGTTCATTTTCCACACAAATTAACTGCTGCTCTGTGCNCCCATTTTTTTAAAAGGTTGCAGAGTTCACAGGTTGAGCCGCTTGCTGCCAGGGCAGAGTTCTAACTGTTTGTTGTTGTAATCACCTGTTGTTAATAGTTTCTCGTTAACTACCTGTTGTTGATGGTTGGGAATTCCCCTTTTTGTCGAGTAACGCCCTGCTGCTTCCTGGAGGATGGCACCCGGACGGTGAAGAGGAGGGGACATCGGAGTTGGCATGTAAATGAAGAAGCCCCTCACCAAACCGAGCAAAAAGCCCCGGAACTGAGGGATCTAAGTGATGTCTAGATGTGAGGAACAAAATCCAGTATCCGCTAAGACCCTTTTTACCCCTCACCCTAACGTAAAAAGATGTCGGCTGGACAGAGGACCTCGAATGTTAAACCGAGAAACTGTGAATCTCCTGGTGCTCTCGTGAGGATGGAACGCCCAGCTCTGCCCACAGACCAGTGGACAAAGCTGCACTTTCTCCTCCTCCTCTGTGCCACTTCTGGAAGCAGCGGTGGTGTGAGCGCGACCCGTCGGTTCTTCCCACCTGAGCTGATTTTAATAAAGGCGTTAAAAGGAGAAAGATGTTCTGCTCTATTTATTTCACGGAGGGGCTGAGGGAGCCTGGGGGGCTCAGCCTGGAGGACGTGAGGGGGGACAGAGCCACCTTCTCCCTCTCAGCACCTCCGTGCCCGGAGGGTACAGCCAGCGGGGGGCTGGCTCTGCTACCCGCGAACAAGGGACAGGACAAGACACAGTTTTAAGTACACCAGGCGAGGTTTAGATTGGACATTAAGAAGAATTTCTTCCCTGAAAGGGTGATGTGATATTAGAATGCACTGCCTATGCGTGTGGTGCATTCGCTGTGGCGGGAGGTGTTTAAGGAAAGCCTGGAAATGGCACTCAGTGCTGTGGTCTGGCTGGCGCTGTGAAATGTTTGTCCAAATTATTATTATTCTAATTGTATTATTATTTTTATAACCATTTTATTACTATTAAACCTTTAAAATTTTAAAAACAAGTGACTGGCGGTTTTCACACACAATTGCCTGTATGTACCTGACACGAAGCACAGCTTTGTATTCCACGCTCTTCCCCTCGGTTTATCCCGCCATGCCGTGATTCAGTGTCCGATGGCAGCGCCTTTCGCTTCCCGCGGNCTCACAAAGCCTAATTACTTCTTACCAGAAGGGGAAAAAGTGATGCAGGTCCATCTGCCAGGTAGGATAATACAAGGATGTGAAGATTTGACTTAAAAATAAGTGACAGAAGCTTTAATGCCAAGCTCTGCTAACAAAACCTCAGGGAAAAGAACAGTAGAACATGAAGAATGAAAATATAAGTATTGCAAAAAAACCCAAAAACCAAAACTAAACAGCATAAAACCAACCAACCAAACGAAAACCCAAACCAAACAATTAAAAAACCAAAACAAAACAGAAAAAAAAATCCCAAAAAATCAACCAACTAAAAAATACCCCAAAAACCAACAAGCCCAACCACCACTTCATCTGCAACACAATGGCTGATGGCTGAAAGGGCCAAGAGAGGGAAAGATGAGTAGAGCTGATTATTTACATGTTGGGAAACTGACAGGGTCTGTACTCAAAGCCTGCAGCCCCAGCTGATGGTTTGCCCATTGCCACCCAAACCTGCACCAAAACTGCCACTTTTCCTTCCTTTCCAAGAAAATTTCCACTTTTGTACTGATGAAGAGGAGAAAAAAAACCCCAATTCCTCAAGTGTGGGCTGTGGGATGGGGAGATGTTTCCATGGAGGTGAGTTCATGTGCTAGGGAACAACTCCAGGTGCATTTTCTTTCAGGTTTGGGTTGCCAGAAATGGGAGTGGGCAGGGAGAAAAGTTTATCCCTTGTGGATAAATGTCTGTTTATTATTAATAATAAATATTAATGATATTTACTCAGAGTCTCAGTGTGGTGTTTACCTCAGCTGTGGAATTTATTTTACTGATTTTACAGCTTTGGCTTTCCCTCACATATTTCATCATCAGTGAGTGTAACTCAGAGCAGAGCAGGGGGATGGTTCCTTCCTTCTTTAATCCCCCTGCAGAAGTGGGATTGCTGACACGCTCTTGAACTGGTGAATTATTCAATATTTGCTGTCTCATGGCTTTCTGGCATAAGAAATCCAGTCTCTAAACACATCTCCTATTTTCTAATGTAATTATTTAATTTCATTATTTATTCTTTCAGGATTTATTGCTCTTCCCTTGCTTTTGATTGCTTTTTCAATCATGTGCATGAGCATTGCTCACTACAGAGTTCACATCTGTGTGTCTTCTAAG